ACCCAAATTACAAGCACCTATCCGCATTCCCTCCAAATTATTCCACCCGGCCAAAGCATCCAACTCCAGGCGACGAAAAATAACCCAATTTAGTTAAGCTCAACCACACCCATCACGTCGTACCTCACAACCAGGCAGGAATGTGATCGGGCTTTTTCCAACTTGTAGAATCTCCAACAGCAAGAATACCCCCAGAATTACAACATCATTGCTCACCCACGAAACAGAGGGTTAGAGCCCCCAACCAACACCACATAGCAAATAATATTCACAATACCCATTCACTCCCTTAGCCAGAGGAATTTCAACATTAACCTTCACAAGCAGAAAGAGGGGAAATATTAGAAGTAATAGCTTGAACTGAGGCGTTCCCAGAGGATTAAGATTCGGACAGCCACCCGACTGGAACAACAATTGACATTAGGACAAAGATTGGGGAAAGCATAAATGCATTCCCGTGTTTATGCCCCACGGCCTTGCAAATGTAAACAGTAATAGGCAACCTTTCATAAACAATTTTTTGAACCATAAACCCTAAAAATTCTTCCGGGACCCAAGCCAAACCCCGACATCAGGGTGAGATTTGGAGATATCCAAATTCTTACAAAGAAGACGAGCTTACTGAAGGTCCAGAACCCCACAACAGTACATTATCAGTTTGAATAGGGCGACCAAGGATTTTGATCCCAAACCAAACAGGCAATTCGGGAGCAGGGCGGCAGGACCAGGGACAAAGAGACCCAAGAAAAGAACAGATAGTAGATTCCTCCGACAAATTCCAGAAGAGGAGGACCATTTGATGATTTTCATAAAACCAAACACAAAATTAAGAGCGATAGCGAAAATCCTTCCATTAATCAAGATCATTCGAGAGGCTTAATCAGAACGTTTGATCTGATCCAGCACACGTTGACAGAGTAAATCACCGGATCCAATTTAGGTTAAAGAAAAATTTTCGGATAGAGTCTAAATCCTCGGACGACTTAATACGGAAATTTCCCCACCAAAGCAATTCAAAAGGTTTGGCTGAGATGCATTAAAATTCTTCATCAGGAAAACCACAAAGCCGACAACCCTCGGATCGTAGAAAAAACGAAAATCCGAAAAACATTATTTGAAGCTTCAAACACCAGACAAAAGCATCTTTAAAGATTTCGAAGCTTACCCACCAAAAAACCCGGATCTAACCGTTTATTTAGCCCATCGGAAGCTCGGCCGCCGGAGACAGAACCGGAGACGAAAAAGAGGTTGGCTAGTGGCATCACGCGAGCTAAAAAAAGTGATAGTCTAATTGATAAATGGTTTAAATTATGGATGATAAGATTTATTTAATATATAAGATATGGAATTGACACACAGATATGCATCTGTATAAGTTAAAAAATTTACTCAAATTAAGAGATGAGATGAAGAATAGAGACGTCCAATCGGTGCAATGACAAATTGTGGAAAAATAAAAGGGGTCATGACCTAAACGCAAGACAAACTAAGGCTTCCGTATTGGAACGACCTTTTTAATGTAACATATTTAGAAGCAATAAGAAAATAAATATCACACAAACAAAAACCCTAATAACAGATATGGCAATACCAATTATAATTCAAAGCATGTACATCATAAGCAAAGATAACTATCATTGCCCACATCTTAATTTATAAATCACATCGAATATATTATTAACAAATATGGATTTATTATATTATTGTCAATGAATTATCTGTTTTTAATTTTCTCATGAGTTATTTATATGATATATCTATAATATATACCCTATTGAATATATCTTTCATAGAAAAATATTCACATATATTCTATCAAAATTCTTTAAAAAAATTAATTAATAAGCCTTTTTTTATTTAATTTTAAACAGTTTAGCAATATCAATTCATAAGTGTAATAAAATTGGAGAAAAATAAATCATTAAGATATTACAGATCAAATATTCCAGCTGGATGAATCACCAATTCTTGGATCATGCTTTAAGTAAAGTATAACATATATAATAATAATATTAGTATAATTTTTAAAATATATCTCATAACTTTGAGTTAATTTTAATAAAACTTTTTATAAAAATATCCTCGATAAGCGTGACTTTTTATTATCACTAGAATTGGACTTTATTATTTTTTTATTTTTTCAACAAAATTGTATTGAATTATAATTTTTTATAAAAAAAAACTTTAAAAAATAAATAAAAAAACTGTCTCCAAATCACCACTTACCGATTAAAATATTTGGCCTACGTTGTGGGTAGGCTATTAAAAGTCCCCAAGGGCTGCTACTTCACTTAATAAGTTCCAAATTTAGCATCAACTAGTTTAGGGCGGAATTAGGAAGAGCTTATCTGTTCAAAAAAATTTTATTTTAGTAAAATAATTATTTTATTTTTTCCATAATCGACAATAAATATATATATATATATTTTAAATTTTATATTTTTTTTCTTATTTCAACATTGAGATTATGAAGGTAACAATTTTATGTTGTGTATCCTTATAAAATAAATTATTTTTTGTTTGCCTATCCTTAAAAAAGATATTATTTTTTGTCCCTATTTATATGGGCTCTTATAAGAATAGAGTAATGCACCTTTAATCAAATGTCATTAAGTATTATAATGATAGTAGATGCATAATTATATTTTACTTCCGCTATGTGCTATCCTATAGTGTTATTGGATAATTTTATAAGTAATAGATCTCATTGGGTGATTAAATCATTAAAAATGATGTATATTTTAGATATCTTAGGTCTATTATTCAATACAATGATGAAATATATTGAGATATTATCAATAAAATTTAAGTTGGATGGTTGAAGTGGAGGAATGCATAAGAGCTATTATATGATAAAAAAAGTACCCCTCAAATTTAAGGGGAAAAAATTATAAGATGGTGGTAAGACCTGCAATGATTTATGATGTGGAATGTTGGCCATTAAAAGAGATGCATAAAATTAAGTGAGATAGAGATGAGGATGTTTATGTGGATGAGTGGTTTTACATTTAGAGACAAAATATACATCCAATATATATGAGAAATGTTTGGAGTAGCTCTAGTGACAGATAAGATTAGAGAGAGTCACCTTAGACGATTTGATCACATAAAACACCGGCCTTCCGATTTGTCACAACCAAACTCTAAATGACCCACAGATTGAACATGTTCCATATCGTGTTGGCTTGCAACAGATAAATCCTAATATCTTAGTTTTGAAAATATCTCAGATTTTCTTTCAATACAAACTTTAAAATAAACAATAAATCATAGAGCTACAAATAACATCCAACGCTATAAATGTTGGAGGCTATAATATGCACGGCAGTAGAGCGAGAGAATAATACGTCTTTGATGATATATCAATAAACAATCTCATCCATAAAATTTTTATTTACCCATCAACATATATATAATTATATTAGAGTCCATGGCTACAGGCCATAGTACAGAACAAAACACAACAAATTAGTCATAGTTGTACAAAAATTAAAAGATAAAATACCTATGCATGATAAGATCATATCCTGAAGTTGCTATTCAACTGGCCGCTTCCCCCTATCAGATTCTAAAAGCAGAAAATGAAACTTCTGTAAACTAACACATCTCAGTAGACCAAATTTAAATTGATATTTATTTCCAAATAATTTATTTACGACAATATATAGCTGAATTGTAAAAGTATTTCAAGATTATAAATGCACTAAACAAAATCATATTTGCAATTAGAAAATTTAAATTTTATTACAGAGAAATAAATAAAAATACATTTAATATGTAAGACCAATAAGTAACAGATTTCTTCCCTATAACTCTCCATGCCCAACATCAAAACAGAATGTGTTTTTAGCATCATAAAATGCTCATAGGCATCAGAACATGACTTCCTTTTTTTTTTATAGGTATCGAAAAATGACTTTTTGCCACTAGAATATACCTATAGGGTATTAGAACATGACTTTTAGTCATCATAATATATCTTATAGGCATCACAACAAATTTCCTCATTTTCCACCACATTTCATCATAATTTCTCATTTTTAAACAATAAAGCATATACTTCACTTCATTGTAAAAATAAACATATTCCATAATTTCACAAAATGCTATAACAGTAAGCAACAAAGGCCCTGCTGAACAAAAATATATTATTTTAGAATTTAATCAAATTATCAGGGATTGTATAAAAGAATATTTTGAGACTTTAATTATGCTAACACACTATTTTTTGAGTTAGAATTATTTCCTAATCAATTAAAATAATACAAATTTGAAAATTTCTAAATGTTCAAAATTGATATTGCAACAACATACATAAAAAATGATACTTTTAGAAAATTTTATTGGTATAAAGTTATTCCCATTTTTCAGTTATTAAAATATAAATTTATTCAATTTATTCCAAAAAACTTTATATTTTTAAAAATTGAGATAGGCAAAATGTCACATACATCTATCCGGTTGACTTTTGTAACTGTGTCGGCAATTGAAAATAGATCAAAGAGACTCAAAATTGACTAACAACTAAATTATTTGATATTTATGAAAATAATATAATTAAATTATATGTCTAATAATTTACTTATACAAGATAATTCAATGAATCAAATCACACCAAACAAGAAAGCCATTGAGGCAAGCCCATGTGAACTGAGTTAATTAACTCTCCTATCCCCCACCTTTGCCACATCATTCCAACCCTGCATTCAATGACAGCCATCCTCAGCCGTTGGCTCGGTCGTCTATACTGATGATATAAGTATTACATTTTTAGCTTTATTTGATGTAGTTTTTTTATTATTATTTTTTAAAAATTATATCAGAAGATGGCTTTCTATATAATTTCTATGATAGTTTTATAATAATTTTTATTAAAAAATTACAACTAATTCAAAAGTATTCTTTAGAGGTTGAGCTAGCTCTAATTTGAAAATAAATTATTAAATTGAATTTATTTTCAAATAAAGCTTAATAAAAAATATATAATTAGTATAAATTAAGAAATTAATTTTGAGTTCTAAAGAAGTATTGTGCGGTTTCAAAACGATTTTCAACAGTGGGCGTTTTTCGAGCTACTCTCATGGCGTCTTTCCATTCTCCAGCTGAATATCCCCATGGCTTCTAACCCAAGAATCCCAATCCCCACATGGCCCCCACTCGACGGTGCGTCCTCTTCTTCTTCCTCCTCCTCTTTCTTCTCTTCCTCCGCCACCGCCGCGCAGCAGCCGCTCCTGTCTACACGGAATACCTCTACCCCAATTTCACGGCCTCGAGTGTGAACTACCTCGAGAAAGGCGGCATCTTTCTCAACTCCAACTCTTCCATCTTCTCTGCCATATTACAGTCCGATGACCCGCAATCCCCCTTCGTCTTCTCCATCGTACACTCTCCGACCTCCACTGTCGTCTGGGCGGCGAACACTGCGAACCCCGCGCCGTACACCGCCAAGCTCTCCTTCTCCGCCTCCGGATTCTCCATCTCTTTTTCAAACGGCAACGTTCTCTGGTCCACCCCGCAGCTACCTCGCCCAGCCACCGCCGCACGTCTCCTCGATTCAGGGAATCTCCTTGTCCTCGACGCAGCTAACGTATCCATGTGGGAATCCTTTGATCACCCCACCGACACGCTTCTATCCTCTCAGCGCCTTCCGTCTGGCAGCTACCTCTCAACTCCTAGCGACGATTACCGCCTCATGGTCACAGGGAACGATGCCGTACTTCTCTGGTCAGTCGGCGGCTTTCAACAGTTCTGGCGTTTATCCTCCGATGTCCGCTTCTATAAAGATCTGAACGCCCCTGTTGCTTACATGGCGGCGAACGAGTCCGGGCTTTACCTGTTCTCCCCCGCCGGAGCAGTGGTGTTCGAGGTTAGTCTCTCTCCGACGAAGCTCCGCATGATGAAATTGGAAGCCAACGGCCAGTTAAGTATCAAGGGTTACTCCGGCAACGGCCCCAACCTCGATGAAGCTCTCGTTGCTCCGGGTGGCGCTTGTGATCTGCCATCGTCCTGCCAAGTGCTCGAGGTCTGCACTACGCAGAACCAAGGTGCGACTTGCAACTGCCCGTCTTTATTCACCACATCACGCAGCGGCGGATGCGCACCGGCCGATGGCTCCACCCTCTTCTCCCCATCGGGATGCAACAGCAGAAACAAGAGCCAGGAAAGCTATCGGAGCTTGGGAAGTGGAATTGGGTATATACCGAACAAATTCGCGAGTACGGTGAGCTCCGGAAGGGATTTCTCATCATGCCGAGACATTTGCAGCGGGAATTGTTCTTGCCTTGGGTTTTTCTACTCGGCCTCGTCCCAGTCCTGCTTCCTTATTAAGAACCAGATCGGTTCACTTGTTAGCACCACGAACGATGGGGTTTCGGATACCGGAGACGGATACATAAAGGTCCTGGCATCGCCCCAACCGCCATCGGGTTCAAGCGGAAGCTCTTCCTCCAGTCTCCTCCCGATTCTGCTACCTTCCATTGCCGTCTTTCTACTAATCATCGTTCTCATCTTCGCTGGAACTCAATGGTGGCGCCGCCGTCGCCGACACCAAAGCGGAAAGAGAAAGGCACGAACGACAGCATCCTCAAAACCCTCCACGATGAAAGATATCTACCTCGGCCGGAATCACCCATGGCCATCTCCATCCGACGACCAGGGATTCACCGGGGACGAGTCCAACTCCGACTCTGACGAGATTTCCATCCCGGGTCTCCCAACACGATTCACCTACTCCGACCTCGCCTATGCCACCGAGAACTTTAGCATCAAGATCGGTTCCGGCGGATTCGGCGAGGTGTTTAAAGGACAACTTCCCGATAAGACCCTAGTCGCCGTGAAGCGCATCAGCGCCAGCCTAGGCGGTGGCGTCCACGGCAAGAAGGAATTCTGCACGGAAATAGCCGTCATCGGCAACATCCATCACGTTAACCTAGTGCGCCTCCGCGGATTCTGCACCGAGGGTCGCCGCCGGATGCTCGTATACGAATACATGAACCGTGGGTCCTTGGACCGCTCCTTGTTCGGCGCCGCCGGGCCTGTTCTCGAATGGCAGGAGCGGATGGACATTGCCATCGGCGCGGCACGTGGACTCGCCTACCTCCACTTCGGCTGCGACCAAAAGATCATCCACTGCGACGTCAAGCCTGAGAACATTCTCCTTCACGACGCCAGCAGCGTCAAGATCTCCGACTTTGGCCTGGCAAAGCTGATCAGTCCGGAGCAATCCGGCTTCTTCACGACGATGAGGGGGACAAGGGGGTACCTAGCGCCTGAGTGGCTCACCAATTCGGCAATCTCCGACCGGACCGATGTCTACAGCTATGGAATGGTACTGCTGGAAATCATTCGTGGTCGGAAGAACAGGTCGGTTGAATCTAGCGGCGGCGGGGGGTCGTCGAGCGGCAGCTCCGGCATTGGAGATGTTGGGTATTTTCCAATGGCGGCGCTGGAGATGCATGAGAGGGGGAGGTATTTGGAATTAGCTGATCGTAGGCTGGAGGGCAGGGTGAGGGAGGAGGAGGTGAGGCTAGCAGTGAAGGTGGCATTGTGTTGCCTACATGAAGATCCGGGGCTGCGGCCAACTATGGCCAGCGTGGCGGCGATGCTCGAAGGCACAGTGGAGGTGACTCAGCCGCGACCGGAGGCTCTCAACTTTCTCCGGCTATATGGAAGGGGGTTTGTGGATAACAACAGCAGCACCACCACCGGCGAGCTGGTCACTGGCACTACCAGCAGCAGCTCAGTTGTCTCCTACTCTTACATGACCTCCCAAGAGGTATCAGGGCCGAGATAGACATTTTTCTGCAACAAATTCAGCTCGGTTGCTTTTTTTGTTTGAAATTATAGAAATTGCGGCGTGGGAAACAGCTTGAAAGATGATCCAAATGAGTGCACAGACATTGAATTGGTATTTACAGCATCAAATTGAATGCGATTTCGACAAAAATCATATGAAATATGCGCCTTCAGATCGTTCCAACATCATTTTTGTTTGAAGCCCGCTGATTCAGAAAGTTGGACAAAGACATCTTTTTTACATCATTTCAATCAGAGTGCATTTTCAACATCAATGTTTAATGTCAACAAAAAATTGATATTTGCTTACAGCTTTGTATATTATACGCGTTGAAAATATATTGATTTTAATGATGTATGAAGTAGCAATCTTTACTCGTAAAGAAAATTTAAGTGTTTGATTAAGCTTTTCAGCTTGATTGTTCTAGTTTTTTAAGCCTGGTGATAAGTGGTTCAAAAGTGGTGAAACCTGAGTTTTTTTGGGGGATTTATATACATATCATTTTATTTTATATAAGTTATATATCTAATACTTATACTTTAATATTATATTTTTATATCATATAAAATTTAAATATCAAATATATCGTTCATATATCTCATTTTGATCACTCATACCATCTTATACATTTTAATATTTTATTTCATGCATTCATATTTGTTCTAGGAGTGGTAGACATGTAATATTAAAGTTTTAGATGTTAAATAGATAAATAATATGAAATAAAGTGGTATGTATGCAAATCCCTTTTTTAATTCTTTTTTATTTCAAGTTTTTACTGTTTCTTACTATGTTTTCCAATATGGTTACATTCTCCAACCGGTCGCCCTTTTAACTAGGAAAAGGGTAGGCGTTAATGCTCAATGCTATTCCTTCTCATAACATTCAAGAAGCCTCATGTAGACCTGTCAATTTCGGGTTACGGGTCGAACCCGACCCGACCCGTAACTGACCCGTCTTTATTCAGGTTCGGGTCAACCCGACCCGGTTTTATAAACGGACGCCCAGTGCCCGCTTCGCCGCCTGGCCCGCCTTCGCGTGACCGCCTGGCCCGCCTTCGCCGCGGTCACTTCCCCCGACGTCGCGGCTTCGGACTTCCCCCGCGTGACCGCTGCCCGAGGTCCGCGCTGAAGCTGATCCCGGCCATGCCGTGTCATCGGGTCGGGTCGGGTTGACCCGAACCCGAAGCGGGTCGGGTCCGGGTTCGGTTTTCCGACCCGTTTGTCTACCCGGGTCGGGTTAGGGTTGACCCGTTTGAACCCGGGTCAGTTCCGGGTTCGACACGAACACGACCCGTGACCCAAAATTGACACCCCTAAATGTACCAATGACTTTTATCATCATCTAGACGTCTTTACAAATAGTTTATCCATGTAAAACACGTGAAATGTCATTAAAAATCATATTTTATCATTAAAATTTTGTTTATGATGGCTTTCTTAATATTTTTTAAATCAACTTTCTTATCTAAAAATTTCTAGTTCAACCAAATTTTAATTCTAAAAAATAGAACATAAATCTAAGACTTTATTTGTGGAGTTTTTTGGCCATTGCTTTATTATTATTAAGATGTCATTGAAGACCTCTTAATCCTATTCTGCTTCAAACAAAATGAAGAAATTATTACGTGCGGAGTCTAGATGCAGTATTATGTTTGAATTGTGAGTGTACATACTGTGTAAAAAACATACATTATACTTTTATATGCATTATGTAAACACTATATAAATAATATGTACGCTCACATATTCAGACGTAACTCTACCTACGTAACCATTTTTCAATAAAATGAGAGATACATGGAACTTTGTTCCATCATGAAGTCCTGGGATATGCACGCCAAGCTAGCTGCTGCAATCTCCATCAGAAATTTATTAATTGTACTATTATTAATATGCAATTTGCAAGAAGACATAGCCCGAGATCTAAAGATAAGCTCCTTGTGAGATTTGTCCTCATGGCATCTTTAACTGATAAATAAATAATCCCAAAGCATACGTGAGCATGAATTCCTGATTAGTGCTTCAATAGAAAAAACAGAAGTAGATAGACAGATATGATCCTGATTGATGACATCTCACTTTTAATCAAAAGGAGAACCCTAATTAATAATAATTCGTAGCGTGATGACAAATTTCTTTGATTGATCCGCTGAAAATACATATTTTTATGAAGGAGATAACTTGTAGTCTTGTATAACGTGTTAAAAACTTTATGCGGCGAAATCATTCATTGGGTGTCCCTTTCTGCAAATTCACTAATTTGTCTATGGAGATGATTTTGAAATTTATTTTTGCTTGATTGAACCCATTAAATTCTTATGTGCGGAATCTGATTGTGATGATCAATCAGGTTATTATGTTGTCTCGGATCTCAAAGCTTGTTGTGTACATTGATGGGTGCAAGGGATTTACGCCCTGTTTAAGTTTGGGTGCTTTGCATCGATTTTTTCTTTGTACAAATGGTGATGTGTACCCAAGCGCTCTGGCGTTGTATTCTCGAGCATCCCATACTTGAACGACATAGAGCAGAGCACTGCAGCAGTCGAGATATGGTGCCGCATCGGGTCAAGACAGAGACTGGGCACCACAGCGCTGAATGTTTAAGTGTCAGAGCATTGTCAAACAAAGACTGAGTGCTGCGACGCCCCAAAATGGTGCAGCTGTGCTTTGAGGCGGACTGAAGATTTATTTTTCTTGTTTTTCTCAAGGGTTGTCCCTTGGGGGTTATAACTCACTTTCTCTTGTATTTTCTAAATATGTAGGCATTGAGAATGGTGCATGTGATGATAATGGTGCATCTAAGAAGAAAAACAAGGAGAGAGTGAGAGAGATAGAGAGGAGAGAGATAGAGAGAAGAGAGATAGATACTTATTTTTCTCAATTTTCATAGTGGATTGTTTGGTGTGGTGTGGCTCCATGATTGTTTTCTCCTATTTTGAGGGTTTTCACATTAAATCCTGATGTCCTTTACCTTTCCTCTGCTTTTACTTTCTTGCTTGTTTCATCATTCTTGTGTTTACTCCTCATCATCCCCAACATGAATTTCTTAAAAAGCATTGTGCGTACTCTCAACAAACAGTACCATACCCCCACTATGCGCCTAAGATGATGTAGCACTGGATGGGGGGCTAAGTGAGTCAAGTTAACTTATGAGCCGGCTCGAATTTGACTCAATAAATTGCCCATGAGCCGAGCCAGAAGAGCTAACATGGCAAACTTGAGCCAACCCTGACTTGAATTAACTCGCGAGTCGACTCATTTAAGAAATTATGCATATAAAATCCACTTGAGATACATTATTATTCATGATTTAAGTACAAAATTGTTTTAAATATTATATTAAGTGATTTTCTTTATTTTTTTTAATTTATCAAATTTTTACTATTTTATTATAAAAATTGCTTTAATGTTAAATTTTTCTCTCTTTCAAAATTAACAAGCCGATTTGTTAGCTAGCTTGAACTCGTAGATTAAAAATTGAATTTAAGCTCAAACTCGATTAATTAATCAAGTTCGAGCTCAAGCTTGTAGTTACTTGAGCTCAGCTCGACTCGTTTACATCTCTAACAAATAGAAGAATAAAAATTGATGAATTTTAACTTTTAATTCAAAGAAATTTTTATGAGTTGATATACTAAGTTAATATTAAAAATTTAAGTAAAATATATAATAATGTGATATCCTTAGTTTTTTCCCATGTAAGATTATTAATTTTTTTTACTTAACATGCCGAATTGATAGTACAAAATTTAAGTAAAATGTATAATTATTTAATATTTTTTTTAATTTTTTGAATTGATGATAAATTAGCTTAATAAAAGATGTAAACAAACAAATTTAAAATCATATTTTATCTTCATAAAGATTTAGAAAATTCTGGATTTCCACAAATAAAAAATGATTTTTTTAAAATAAAGTTTGATTATTGAGATGTATTAATAGATTTTCCAAATTCACCGAAATGGAAACATTTGATTTTTCTCCAACAAAATGGCTAAACTTTCATAATTCAATAGTTCTTTGGAAACATAGGAAGTACCCAATGCGACAAATCACCTTCCATGAGGTTCTAAGTTATTGGTGGATCTTCTTTAGATAGATTGTGATATCTGCTAAGAGAAATTATTATGTGCAGAGTCTTGATATAAGATGTGAAAAATTGTGTAAAAAACTGGAATAATTTTTTTATTAATTTCTAAATTAATTTTCTAGCAAAGAAATTTTACGATTAAAATTTATTTAAAAAAATAAAAAAAAATTATCTCGAATGAAACTTCAGAAACTCCGGCCTTTTTTTTTTCCTAGAATCAACCAACTCATAGATTGTTACATAAATAAGAGAAAGATAGCTCATAGCTCAATTATTTTGTACAGGAAAGTCCAATAATGTAGAAATATATGGCCAATGCTATTCTGTGCGGACACTGGACCGTCCGGAGACGAATCAAAACACACCACGTTACCCGGTACACAACGATACACAATCGCTAGAGAACACTTGTTAGGGATATGAACTAGCTTATGTGTGTAATGATGGATTAATAAGCTTCTGAGCTGATCAATTATTGTATTAGGCTAATAAGGGCAGTTTAGTAAAAAATAAGTTCAGGATGAATTAGTAGTTTTGTACAGCTATACATAACCTCCATTTGAAGATATTATGAATGAATGAAAGAATTAGATGAGTCTCCATAATCTATCTTCTCTTTTGAAATTGCTAGCAAATTCAGATCCACCATTTATTTGGAGTTGCAAATTCAGATCCACCATGGTCTGAGATCTCATAACAATTGATACACCTATTCATAAAAAAATAACTCGTTAACACCTTCGAGATACTGCAAACACACAATATATATTCGTTAAAATCCAAAAATCTTCAAGTCAATCCAAGGATCATTTTGTCATAATCAAAAAAACTTTGTACCTATTGAATCAAAGTTTGTCCGTGGGTAACACCTGACTTAACTAGCATGTCTATTTGTAGAGCAGAGGAACCGATAATCAAGAATGGAAAGAGTATAAAAGAAGAAGAGGAAGACTAGATATCTCACACAAGTAAAAAATTTCCTACTAGCCCAATAAACCTCTTCTGAAAATATTCTCGTGTCTTGACAATACCCCTTGCCTCTTATTTATAGGGTTTTAGAGGCTACAAGAAGGGATACATGAAAAAATGATGAAAAATATAATACTACGTAGATTATATGTATAACGCTACAACACACTATTCATATATGCCGTCCTTTGATTGGTAGGGAGAGTTGGGATGGAGGATTTATCTTTGGATTAGTGAAGCAATGCCAAGATAGTATAGGTGAGTTTTGTGGAGGGTGAGCTCCATGATGACTGCATGTCTTGGGCTAGCATTCAACTAAATGGGCTTTGTAGTGGCAGACCGATTGGGAATTATGCTCTTATACTAAGTCATGAATCGTCATGGGATAATAGGTGAGCGTACTGAGGAAGTCAGGGTTTTATGTAGTGGTGAGCGTTGGTGGGGTGAGTAGTGTGTCCGATGTGAGAGCCTTCTTGTAATAGAGCTTGGGTGACGGGCGATGGTTTTACGATGGGATCTTATGATTGATATAGCGGAGGGAGACAAGTGATTTGTTTGATGGAACATCCTTGACTCGCCTAGCTTAGGGTGAACTATCCGGTTGGTTCGGACGAGTGTTAAAAGGATCTCCTCACCACTTGTAAAGATTTCTATGAATGCACTTATATATCTACATTTAGTCCTCCAATTCACTCAGGCCCTTTGATTAGCAAGCGTGAAAAGGATAAGTGAATGGAATTAAATGTGTCTGAATCATGAAAATAAATTAGTATTCATTGGAGTCGACATGAATAGAATTGCAATATACCTCCTAAATTCATACGAAAATACTAGCGACTTTAACTTCACCCCGATGATGGCTGTGTTAGATGTAAATATCAACCGGAGTAGTCAAATCTTAAATCCAACAAAAGTCTAAATCCCTAAAATGAAATCTTTCACTTAAAAACTTAAAACTAAAACCATCCACCTCCCACAACTATTTGTTGGTGGCGACAAATTTAAAATTAATCTCAACTCACAAAAAGCGAAAGCATGTCGGGTGCATCACTAAGGTTCATCCTCAAATAGTCTCTTGACATCAGGGATGTGGCACGTTCCCTCTGATCGGGTGGTTTTGCTGCAAAATTGCATCATTATATTACGATCACGGCCAAAACCCGTATGTTCCCTAACGGCGTTAAACCCTTAAGTGATGAATCATAGAGTATATTTTATAGGCATGAAAGCCTCCTGTCAGCTAAAGTGGATTCTGATCTATCCCCTTAGGCAAACACCAACCTAGGCCTACAAAGTATTCTTGGACGTAGCAACCCATGGCTGCCGATAAGGTACATTCTTTCAAGTTGGATCGACTAACTCTTCTGACTAAGTAAACCAGGGAACATGACAGCCCAAGACGACAGAACCATGGGATCTTCATCGGGTTCGTTTTCATTCCCCCACCACTAGTTTTAAGTTCATGATGATAAATTCAAAATTATAAAATCAAATTCAAACCCTAAAACTGTTGCTATTATACACTGGATTTACAACCTCTTCGACCTCTTCAATGACTAGCCTTAATCGAAAGTTTTCTCTCATTATCAGAGGGGTAATTAACTATAGGGTTTTGCGCATATAGGAAACCAGAACTAAGATCATAAAGCACTCACAAAATGAGGGCGAAATCTGTGAGTAATGTCTTATCTAAAACTCAATCTACCTTCTGAAAATTCACCCGGAGCATCGTCACAAATAAGAAAAGAAAAGAGATGTGGTGCAGAGAGGCCGGGGCTCAATATTGTGGAATTTTCGGAGCCCATAGATATTATATTGACTCCAAGGACATTATTCTTTATACTCTCAATGACCTGCCCTCCTCTTATTCTTTAAGAAAATGACTAAGCTGATCACCTATTGTCATATGACTTTTGAAGTTATCTATCAACTGTTGTCCAACATATCCTAATATTGACGTCTATTAGCCATGAATATTTGACTCTTATATTCTTAGTCACACAATCTGCTCTTCTATAAGGATGATGACCAAGACAACTGTCCAACATCATTTAATTTCTAACATTTGTTATGTCATCGCTTGATATTTGTCAAGTGCTAAAGACATACATCCTCCAACCACTGACATAGGACGCTCACTTGGACTCCTATCTTATCAAGAGAATGACCTATCCAACTGGCCACCATCACTCATCTTCTAACCTAGCTAATTTTTGTTAAATGTTTGACAACAACAAATATCTAACATGCACTGCCATTGACGTCCAATGCTTGTCTTCGTAATTGTTCAATCTTCATTCCTATCAGAAGAAAAACTAAGCTAATCAGCCATCTTTATTTCACTCTGACGTCCCTCACTATCACATAAGGCTTGCCAATGACCGACATTCGCTGGTTATTAATATGCAACGCTTCCTACGGATTGCTTGGTCTCTCTTCCTATCAACAACAACAACAACATCAAGTTTTTATCCGCCCATTGTGTGACATGAATCCTTTTTCCCATTGTTCCCCGTCAAAAGTTAAAGTCTCATTTAAATCAAATAAAGAAAGGTCGTTTCTAATATTTTCTCTAACCAAGTTTTTTTAGATCTACATCTACCTTTCTTAACATAAGTCAAATCTAATACATCTACTTTCCTAACTAGGTCATTGGAAGGCCACCGTTTTATGTGACCAAACCATCTAAAGCGACTCTCTCTAATCTTATTTTCTACTAGAGCTACTCCAACCTTTTTACGTATATGCTCATTTTGTATCCTATCTCTAAAGGTAAAGCCACTCATCCACCTGAGCATCCTCATCTCTACCACACTTAACTTAGTATTATGCTTCTCTTTTAATGGCCAACATTCTGTACCATAAAGCATTGCAAGTCTAACCACCATCTTATAAATTTTTTCCTTAATTTTGAGAGGAACTTTTCTATCACACAACAAGGCCAATGCATTCCTCCACTTCAGCCCACTCCACCAGATATTTTTTTCTATCAGTAAAATCAACAAAGTCTATCACCCTCCATTGCTTGGCTTCCTACATCCTCTATCATCTTTCTTCTGCACTCCTCTCACAGGAGATATCTCTAACATTTCAAATCTATCACACTACATTAATCTTTTACCACTGTAAATTTTCCTGCAATAATAAAAATCATCCCACACATCAGATGGGGCATTTCTACCTTAGAAGAAATCTATGATAAAAAAAAGCTCAAATACAGAATGCTGAAAATTTTGCCAATTGTCCCAACACTTTAATGGCATTATTGTTTAACAAAAATTACAAAAAGGCCACACTTTGTATCTTACAATTTTATTATCATATTTCTTGGGTTTATCCAACTTATAACTGATATTGACAAGGGAGTTATCATCAAGATATATCATATTCTTAGAACTTTCACAAATCACCATCCCATCTATGCCACCGTCGCTTTAAGGCTAATATTGCATAAAATATAACGCTTGCAGATATGGTAAATCAAGGAAAACATAGTCGAGATTCAATGCAGATCTTCACTGAGGAAGCTGCATGGAAACTATATCTTCCCTTGGTAGATTGTATATAGATGTTTCAGCATCAATTCCACCATTGTCGCATACTCGGCTGAGTTCAGAACCTGCGGATAGCAATGGCTGAGTATTTTTCCTGTTTTTGCGCAGGGCCAAGTATACGACGGCAGCCAAATACACCAAGATTGCAGCAAATCCGAAAATTCCTGAAAAAACTTTTGATATGGTTTGTAATTGGCTATTCAGTAGTAGTTTGATGAAGCTGGTTATGAGATAGTAGATATTAATGGCCATGAGAAATGAACTTATAATCCAGGTCAGTGCTGAAGTCTGCATTAAATGTAAGAAATAATGAGTTTGACCAGTACTCAAAAGGCAGAAGTTTGGCTAACAGATTATTACAATTGATCAAAAGGTTGATGTTGAAGTCGCGAATCGATCTTGAACTTACTGCGAAAGAATTAGCATATGAACCCATCTTGGTCTTACTGCTGGTGAACTTGAGGAGTGGAAGAAGAGCGAAAGGAAGCTCAAATGACAAGATCATCTGCACATAGTTGTCTTTTTGTTCAAATGACAATATAGAAGTAAAAAGTAACAGCAGGAAGAAGCCAAGTTGTGTTTCAGAGCTACAATTTTAATATGCAGTGCCACTTGTTCAAAAAGGTATCATGCAGTGTCAATTCGATCGTTGCTTGATTTTATTCCCTTTAAGGGAGGCCAGAAGAAACCCTTTAATTTGCTCCATAACCAATAATCTCCACTTACAATCTCGTGTCCCGCAAGTTGGGTACTCTATTATTCTATGTTCTTCCCAAAAGCGCGCCAATACCTATGTTGTGCGGAGCTGAGCATGTTCTAAGATCTAGTACCATACTTATCTTGACATTCCGATCATATTAAAATCAAAATAATGACAAAAAATTGAATATTTTACCCATAAGTTGACCTAATAATATATGAGGATGACAGGCCAAAAATAACAGTCTAAACACACCTATATTGTGAAAAACAAAACTTAGTAGTGATAATACGTAACCTTCTCTCACTGCATCATAATGCTTCTAAGGAATATTCTCCACTCTTTGATGAAACTTGTTAGTTCTATGTGGAATAGGATTGTGTCAATCAATCCGATTGTAATGTTAACTCATAACTCAATTCCGTCGATCTAGCTCGTTGAGGGGTTGTAGGGGGTCCTAGGACCTAAGCTTGCTTGGGTTTGGGGGTCTTGCCCCTGAAAAAAATTTGTTCATGAAGCCATACAGTGCTGCGGTGCTATAGGTCAGCTTAGAGATAAAGAGAGGAGTGTTGCGGCGCTCCAAATCCCGGCATCGCGGTGCTGCAAGTTAGGCTAGGCAGTTTTCTTTCTTGTTTTTTATATTTAACTTTAAGGGTTGCATCTTTTGGTGTTGTTGAAGAATGTCTATTTTTCTATTATGTTTGTAGAATGATGCAAGTTAAGAGATACAAGGGGAGAGTGAGAAAGAAAAGATCTATACAATTTCTCTCATTTTCATAGTGAATTTCCTGGTGTGATGTGGCTACGAAGATTTTTCTCATTTCGGATTTTTCCACGTGAAATCCTAGTGTTTTTTTCATTTCCGATGTTTTTTTTTTTTTCTTGTTTATTTCATCATGTGGTTTTACTTCCCAACAAAACTAACAACCATAAACAAAATACTTAGTAAGGATATAAAACTTGCATACCGATGCTATGATTATCAGCTTTCCAGCCCCAGTAGAGCCACCTATAATTGCTACAATTAAACTTGGGATAATTGCCAGAGATCTAGTCAAAAGATTTCTTTTCCAAGGGGTAATGCGTAGATTAAGAAAACCCTGCAAAAAAAAATAAAGATTGAATACCTTACAAATGGAGATTGAGAGTAATGAGATCAGAAAAATGAGCTTATGAACTCGGATTTAAAAAAAAGGGTTGGACAATCAAGTTTTCCAAATGATCATCTTTCATAATTTTCCCAAATGCTCCTTTCAAAAATTTCAAAGTAATTTTTAAATGCAATACTACGAAGCCACTAATAACAAGCCATAATAGGAATTCTGAACTAGAAAGTCTTCATCTTTTACCAGCAATATACAAAAATTGATGGCAGCACAAAATGGCGGAACTTAGCTTTAAGTTAAAGCACCCATGCAGTGTTACAATAAAGAGAATTTAAGCTTACACGATCGCCATCGCTTACACGATCTCTTAAACAAGAACATTAAATTTAGGAACTAGCTAAAATTGCGCCTACCCTCTGAATAAAGAAAAATTATTACGTCTGGCGTCCGGACTCGTCCGGAGGCAAATCCAGACGATCCACATCACCTGGGGCCCAGTGCATCCGGGTGACATGGCGCATCCGGATTCGCCTCTGGACGGTTCGGATGCTGGACGTAATAATCTCTCCTGAATACAATTTCAACATTCTTTTTTAAACACGTTGTCTGACATAAAGTTCAACTCTTTTCAGCTTGCAGTTACTAGTTTCTTTCTTTTTTTCTTTCTTTTAATATCTGCATATCAAATATAAAAAGGGTATAACAGCTAAAGAGAACAAAACCTGCATAACATATTGCCCAGCGTAAGTTCCAGTGATTGTAGAGCTCTGACCCGAAGCCAATAAAGCAATAGCAAATAGTTTTGAACTCCATTTTCCTAAGACATTCTGTTTATAGTACAAAGAGGGGTCAATTGTGCAGTCATTATTACAGAGAATTTAAGCATTTTCTTGCATATACAGTTTGAGCTTGCTGATGTAGCAGAAATAACCAGACCTTTCAAATTGATATTGACTTACTTTTAGTAAAAATGAAGCTTTGTTGAGATCTAAATCGTCACACTTAGTTTTATCATCTGGATTTAAATTTGCTGAACTACAAACAGAACCACTTAGAGAAATGATAGATACATTGATAAGAAAGGCCAAGGAAAGAGCAATTGCACTTTCTATAGTGTAGAACCTGCATCCTTCCTGTCAAGGTAACAGATAATATATATTTTTGTATTAAAAAGTGTTCAAATACCAATCAATAGATAAGAATTTTACCTTGGTTCCATGAACTGAACGTGGTACTCTCCTAGATAGTACCAAAGCTGAATGGAGGAAGAGGTTATGCCTGCATACATAACATGCAATAAAATGTTATAAATGCATACAAAAGAATTTATGAAGATAGCTCAGGTAATCAGAGCGTACGGCATAACCATGGCACCAAGTAGAGAGATGGCAAGTCCAGTAGCACCATCTCCCTTGAGTTGGGGGACAAACAATCCCTTCAGTATTTCTGAATACTGTGGCTTTGCATAGCCAAGCTCAACAAAGAAGCAAATAGCCATTGTGAATACTAGAAAAGCTATCAAAAACTCAAGTTTGCGTACCTGCACAACATGCCTCCCAATTAGAGAGCTTAGGTAATTAAAAAAAATAAAAATAGAGAGAGCTTAGGAAATCAGTAGTCACAAATGAGTCCGGTATTTTTTGTAATCATACAAAGTACTGGGAAATAATCCTACTAATAAATAGGCTTGTTTCCTTCTTTAACTAGACATACATCAGAGAGGTGCAACATTGGAGAACTGATATGATCAGAAACTTAGGTGTCATTTGGGACAGCTTTCTAGTTGCTTCTTAAAACAACTTTTTAGCACAAAATTAAAAAAAAAAAATTTGTACTAGAAAGTTGCTTTTAGAAGCAACTAGAAAGCCGTCCCAAACGAAGCCTTAATCATCTATTTTTGACTGCTCATATATTGACTTGGTTATTTTTTGAAGTCTTTATAAAACTAGCCTTTGGGTTTATTCTAAAATTTAGGTAACTCTTAGGCTAAAATTAAGGCCTTTGACTTGAAAAAACAAACCCCACATATGAATAGTGCATAATTTATTAATCAAAAGCAAATTAAACCTGTTTTACATAACCAATAAGAAATGAAAAACCAAACGAAATGATGTGAAATCCAACTCGGGTTGGTTTACTCTGAATTTAGTTCCAGTTCCTTGTTTTTGAACCAATCAAAGTTAGATACACTCAAACTTGGAGCAAGAACCAGACCACCCCAGGCATTAAAACCTCTAAAGTCCAAATATAGACTAGTTTTTGATTTACCCCATATTGTTGCAAAAGTAGAAGCAGCAAGGTGCTTAGTCCAGTGATGAGAACACCACACCATACTGGGACCCTGAAGAGCATGTTCAAGGCAAAGGCTGTTCCAATAACTACAGAGAGGCAAAAATAAAATACATTAGGGATAAGTAGAAAGTAATGCTCAAGTTGGTATATAAATTTTATCTAAAAGAAAATGTTATAGTAACTACAAAGCGGAGTTCTTTATGGGGTTAAAAAGATACTGCAAAGTAAATTTTATACCACTTTTGCAGCTTCAGTTCACCAATCTATCATTTCAGATGAAAACTTGAATCTTACATTAACGGATATGTTCACTCACGTAAAAAGTTTCAATCAAAGTGGGGTAAACTTTTGTTGGCTGAAGCTTTGAAAAAGAAAGGATTTTACATAATTTCAGATTGTTTCTGTCTATTAATCACTTAGAGATGATTGTTCCTCGTTGGGTTCAAGTTCTGCTAATTCATAGAGAAATAAGATTCTCCACTTATCATAATGAACATTAATTCTTCAATTGGGTATTTAAGAGGGATATGAAATTAACAAAACAGAGAGTGATGAAACCTTCAGGTATGTCACATGCAACAACAGCAAGTTCAGCTAGCAACCACAAAATAAAATTTGATACTGTTGCGTATTCTGCTCGGCAATGCTCAGCCAAATGTTTTCCTGTCACAAATAGATGCCACATTTAAGCGTCCAAATCAAATACGTGATAACATGATGTGGCAATCAGTTGAAGTTCCTGAACAGCAAAGACCTGTTACTACGCCCAACTTTGCTGCAAGAGACTGAATGATGAGTGCAGCAATAGAAGCAGCGAGGATGATCCAGAGCAACTGGAGGTGAAAAAAACAATCACTTGTAACAAATTTTAAGAAAGTGAAATTAAATGTTCTTCATTTCATGAAGTTTTTTAACTTATATTTCGTCCCGTGCAAAGTTTCAATTCCTAAAAAGAGTTTGCTTTGGTTCAATTCCTACAGACTTTGTAAAAATTAGATAACTTAATCTTGAAGAAAGTTCTTGTAAGAATTTGAGAACTTGAATCTTACATGTGATTAAGTTCTTATAAGAATATAAGAACTGTTAATCTTACATGGGCATTAGAGAGAGAGAGAGAACGGGATACCTCATATTTGTATTGCGCTCCTGACTGTAGATCCGTCTCAACTATATGTCAATATGTGAAGAATTTTTAGACAGCTTAAATAATTGGACAGATTAGTGTATGAAGCACAGAAAAGAAGCAAATGTGCCTTACAATTTCCAGGATCTATATAAGCAATAGAAACAAGAAATCCAGGGCCCATATATACAAACAAGTTTTTCCAGCTTCCTTCCTGCAAGCAGAGATCATTTGTCAAATTATCAAGAAGAAAAATACGAATTACCAAGGAAAAAGCTTTTACAGCAACAAAATAATATTTTAAACACATGACATGCATACTCATACTTCCTACCATTTCTTAAACTTCAATTTCTCTCTTTTGATAATAGATTTGCAAATATGTTTAAGGAAGCTCACGCATCATATTACACCCTTTTTTGAAAAAACTTCTTCAGAGACATGTAAGTTTTATTTCTTGCTGCAAAGATAGGCTTTTTCGATTAAAACTTTCAAAAAATTTGTATATCGGCAAGTATGGCCATGGCATGTTATCATAGAGGAGTGCGGAAAGCTATTGACTTCTCAATTCTTTCATTAATCCGCTGCTTCAACTCATCAAAAGCTAGAAACTATACAGTTACGAATCCCTCAGCCACCCCACCTATTTCCCTCCAAAGTTCAACCATCACAGAAAGACAACACAAGTAACAAATACAGCAACAGCATCGTTCATTCCATTCCCCTCCAAACTGAACAGAAGAAAGTTTTTCATTAAGAATTTTTATCAAACAGATAGCCTCCAAGAACAGAGTCTAGTAACCCAGCGTTCTCATTAACAGTTCTGTTTTTTTCTTCTTTTTCTTTGAGGTATATTACACCCAGAAAAAAAAATTTACCTGGGGAACAATGATTTGATCAGCTTCGATCTCATCGATAAGAGGAGAAGATGGACCGCCGAAAATTCCCCTATCGTCATGGCTCGTAATGAATTGAGGATGCGAAGAGTTTTGTTCCGAGGCAGCCATTTCTTCTCCTCTCCAAATCCTAAAACCTTCAACCCATAAAAATGCACAATGAGACAAACAAACGTGTACGTGACAACAGGAAGAGAATCAATTCCCCAGCTTTCAAATATGCAAATAAGCAAAAAAGAATAGCTGATTAGACATCCAAAAGAATGGTTGAAGATTAAAGAGCACGCGCGAAGCACATTGACCACTAGAGAAAAACTCGGCCTCAATATTTCGAAACTCCATCAAAAATGGCAAAAAAAAAAAAAATCCGTAAATTTAAAATAACCAAGTTCCCTTTTTTCGGGATTGGACTGTAGGAAAAAAAAACTTTCTGATCAGAAGTTCTTAAGGTGACATGACTTCCAGGCTTGCAAGAGAGAGAGAGAAAAAGGAACATCCTTTCGGAAAAGAACATTCAAGGTGGAGATTTTCTTGGACCAAAAATAAATAACTAAATGAAAGATTTCCGACTGAACCATCGCGATAAATCTGGGGGGAGAGAGAGAAATGGAGTTTTCACAGTCCTAAGTCTCCGAATCCGTACCTTGCTGTAGAGTGGAGAGGAGAGCGGGTCCGCGACTGCGTTGTAGCTATCTCGTGAAGGTACTCTTCCAGTTCCAGCGTAGGAGATTTTATAGCTGAGCTACCAAAATTAATTAGGAGAATGAAAGTGGAATATTATGAGTATTTTTTTTTTGAAGTTTTTATGATTTTTCAGAACTTATTTTTTTATTCTTAGCTAAGTCGTCCTAAAAAATATTAGATGTTTTTTATTATTATTTTAGAATTAATTGTTAAAATAATGAATCTAAATAATTACTTTGAATTTGATTATAAAATAATTATTTTGATTATTCAAAATTTTGATTTGAGCACTTGCTAATAATCATATACCAAATGACAACAATCAGCATCCAAAATAACTATTGTCAGTTAGGCTTGAGATAAAAAAATAACTCAATTGATTAAAACATAATTTATGTTTAAGACTTTAGACCATGTCATTGTATATTATATTTATGTTTTATAAGAATATTTACATTTATGCCATTTGACTTTTAGTATATTGTGGTTTTTGTTTGCTTTGGACTTTTGAGTTGGGCTTATTTGGGCTCGGATTTGTTTCATTTTTGTGTCATTTGATTCGTCTTTTTGAGACATTCAGTTTGATTATAAGTTTGCTGAAATCGAAGTTTGGATGGTCTCGGATTTAATTTTGAAATCTTTCAACTCAATTTTGCTTTGATATTCATGCTCGATCAAGATAAATTTTTTATGATATATCATATTAAGTACCCAACAAGCTGCTCATTCAAATTTTTAAAATTTTTTTCTTGTGTAAACACATGGCCAAGTGCTTAAGAAATTACAAGAAGGACATCTACTTCAAGGTTCTGAGGCTACTAGCCTAGCTCTTCATCTTTATTATTTTCATTATATACACTAATCTCAAGTTTTTTATCTGAAATTTTCATGTTGAATAAGATTATCATTGTCTTAAACTCATTATAAAAGTTTAATTTCCATCTCAAGATTGTAATCATCAATCATGATATTGGGATAAGTTAAGTCTAGCCTAGGCAAGTTAGTTTTTGGCTCCCAAGTGCAATGAGACATGTTATGGGCCATATGAAGGTGAGAAAATATTAATTTGACTCCAGTTAGGTTCAATCGGCCTATATTAGGTTGTATTGTGGTCTATCCTATATTTAGGATTAATTAGGATTGGGTTATTAAATGGGTAGTTTAGGATATATATGGTTCGATCAATGAGACCTTATGGGTCCAAGATCCTAATTTAGTTTGTAGGGTTTAGGTTGACCAAAGTTTGGCAAGCTAGATTAGGTTTGATCTAGTTTGATTAAGTTGACTGGGTGGGTCTTATTTGATTAGGATATGTCTATATTGGCTTGGTTTACTCTTGAGGGCATCCAGGCTACCCAAGTTTGATTTGGGTCAATCATTAATTTATCAACTTGCGTATTGGACATTTAAGTCATTTTAAGATTTCTTATGATATAGCCATACGGGCTTTGCTCTAATGCAAACTATGGGTTTCATGGCAAGATATATAATTAGTTAAGTTTACTCTCAGGCTCAATGATAGCTTATGATTTGTTATATCCCAATAAGTGGAAAATATATTTGCATTAGGTCACATTGCAATAATGTTATGTAAATGGCTAAGGTTTTGAAAATTATAGTGAACATTGAACCATAATAACGAAAAGTTCAATTAGAGTTAAAATCAAGAGTTGAACCAAATGATATAATAAATATTAAAATTATTTTAATATGGCTTAAATGACATAATAATAATGTGTTACTGATATTTTTATTAATAAAAAATATAATATTCTAAATCATTGTATTTGATCATTAAGTATTTTGAATATGATTCTAAATCAAAGTTTTGGGATTGAGTATTTTGATTATTTATAACATATTCAACTTCAAATATTAATAATATTCAACTTAAAAAGTTTAAAAAATATAAATTGTTAGAACTTCTAAACCTTTTATCAGAACCATTTGACCAAAATAAAAAAAGTGGAGAATGATCTATGTTCAAAGCAGTTGGTTCATAAAAAATTAGGCCAAACCACTTGTGCACAAATGAATTTTAGCATGGGTCAAACCAACCAAAAATTGATTCATGGTTAAATTGGTCAGATTAGTCGATTTGATTTGATTTTTAAAACCGCAGTCTAGCCTTTTAACATGTTGAGGTTAAGGTTGTAAGTCCTATGATAGGCATCTATTCCAATTGGTGAAAAAATAGTCATGCATATCATGTTTGGCCTTATAGACCAATAGGGGAAAGTCTCTCTAATTATAATAGAGATATAAGGCTCACTCTTGTGTCAGTTAGGTGTGTCAATTTAAATTAATGGGCTAAGTTTAGGTCTAAATTAAAGTTGACCCAATTCGAATCTATTTGACTTGAATTTGATTTATTATTATATGACTAAAACATTTTGACCTAAAATTGACTTGATGCAAATTCATCTAACTTATTTAGTATATGGTTCAAGCAATATTTTGGATCATCATGACTAAATTAACTCAAATATGAATGGTTTGAAGCAATTAACCCCACTTGAACCCATCCAACTCAAACCCGAATAATAATTAGAATAGTTTCTACTTGATTTTAGAATTATTCAGATCAATGTAAACCTGACCTAGGGAAAAAAAGAGTTAAAATTTAGACAATAACCTAACCAAAAAAGCAATCTAATAAATTTGAACCCAAAATTTTTAATCAAATTTGGGTCAATTTATTGGGTCTAGTCATTTATTGACATCCATAATGTAAATTATCCTCAACCTCAAGGAAAAGTCAACTATATTCTTTTTTTTTTAAGTATCGTTGAGTCAAAATTACCTCAACCTCAAGGTTCTTTTTAAGGGGAAGGTTCTTTTATATTTTGAATCAAAGGTTCAATAGCTATTCTTACGTGATTATATATGTGTATTTTTGTCTTGAACCCATCTCATTATTGACCCAAGCCTATGTATCACCAAAGCATAACAAATTGTCCCAAAGAGTTCTGAGTTCACCACCAAAAAATAAGGTAATCGCAACACAAATTTTGAGCTATCGAGGCAGTTTTTGTCACGACAATTTACTTTGCAGCGGTTCTAAAACCGCTACGGATACGGATCGTCCCAGGACGATCAGACCATCTTGGATCGTCCTGGACGGTTCCCAGAACTATTCTCAGGCTGACATTTTCTACAGTGTCAATCGGCCTGGACGATATGTACAGAAAATCACCTGGAGCAAAACTGGGCAAATTCTGGAGCAAAATTTTCCATTGATCGTCCCAGGACGATCCAGATCGTCCTGGACGATCCTGGAGCATATTTTTGATATTACAGTTTTAACCACCACAATTTACTTTGCAGCGGTTTTAAAACCGCTACGAATACGCTGTAATTACTATGCGCTGCAACGACATGTTATAGCTGGTTCAAATCAGTTCTCAAATAACAATTTGTTAAAATTCAAATTTTCATAATAACTTGATTAATTGTATAAAGGCAATATATATGTAAAATAAAATCATAACTTCCAAAATTAAAAAAAAAAATCTAATTTCAGGCTTTGTCACAATTTCGTGGAAAGGGCCCCTTAATTAATTTTAAAAATGTTTTGACTTAGAGATTGAGACATTATTAGGGAGGTGGAGGATAATATTTATAATTCGATGACATAGAGGACCTATTGGTAAATTAATGCAGTTTGATATTTTCTTAATGGAAAGTCCGACAGGCCGAACTATTTAGCTCATGTGAGTGCTCTAAATGTATATGATTAAGAAGCTTGAACAGGAAATAAGTGACGCTAAGCTTTAGAAAATTTCATAAACAGGAAAAAATATATATAGGAGAGGAAAATACTTAAGAAGACCGCAGTGATTGTTTAGCTTAAACAAAACAATTAATAAAATAATCAAAGATAGTACGATTCAGATAAATTCGGTACAGCTAAAAAAATAATAATAATAATAATATCATTCTAATCAAAATTGAATTAACTCAAACTGTTGTAATAATACTTTTCAAAATGATTTGATTCTAAGTGTACTCTTTAAACATATTTTAAATTAAATCAAATTTATAATTATTTTAATTAAAAAATTTATATTTGAATTGAAATTTTATTGAATTAGCCAAATCAAATTCAAAATCAATTAATTTAATAAATTTTGAGCCTATTTTTTGAATTTTTTTATGTTGAGAATACAATTGACTTCAGCAACCTTAACACCTTAAAATGAAAATAGAAATATTTATTTTAAACGTTATATTAGTAAAATAAAAGTTGGGGAGACTTAAGAAAAATAAAGTGCGGAAAAATAGTAGGGCTTAATGATATTTCAATAGAAGGAAATACTCAAGAGATCAAACAATATATTGGCTTAATAAACTTTTTAATATTATTTCAAAGTCTTAAAAAAAAAAGTCAAATGAGCGTGTTGGTTCCTATTTTTAACAGGGACAAATCCAGTCTTATTTTTTAGGGTAGACAAACTTATTATATATATATATAAGCTAAAATTCTAAGCAAATGCTTCTATTTCATTATAATTTATGAATTAAAAATTTTTAATTACAAACTTTGCATTTTACTTTATATTTTCTGATAATATTGCATAATAACTTCTTTGGAAACAAATAAAATATTTTCTTCTCGATGTATGATACTAGACAGTCATTAAGCTATGCATCACATATTTTGCTACGCAACCAACGCTTAATAATCATCATTACAAAAAATGTTCTCTCTATTGTAGCAATAGTAACTAATAAAGTCGATATCAAAATAATAAATCTATAAATTAGGGGATAAATAAGATTCTTTTTGGCCTTCACATTCTCTTTTGCAAGAGCAACAATGCTAGTGAAAGATGTAAACTCGTTGTTTGTATGCATATCAATGATATAAGTAAATACCTTATGGTCAAGAGACGCAAAATCAACCATAGAATAATTTGTTGGAAATAATTATGCAAGATAAATTAACTTTCTCTTATCATAAGCTGAGAATATATTACTTAAGTTTTGATATGTCACACAAAAAATTAACTTGGTTCTAGTTTCTGAGAA